TCTCTAAAATCTCCACAGTTTCATTTCACATGTATAGTCTTAACCTCATCATTCTGTTTGTTCATATATCTTATTAAGATAATTTGATAATTGGAATCCATGTTTGTCTTAATTGTGATTTCAGATTGATCACTGCATTATTGCAGCTTCAATTAGCTTGCTGATGTTGTAGTAAATTATAGCTCATTCACTTCCTTAAGTTCATATTTGCTTGCTTATCACGTTCAGGGAAATCCAAAGCAAGCTAATAGAATTGGATAATCCTGTCAAAGCACAATGTGAAGCACAAAGTGGAAGTATAAGAAACCTCAAGAAAAAAATTGCAGCTGTATAAGTGTATCCCTTCAGTACTGGGTTTTCTCACATTTGTTATTTCTTTGGAATGTAATGCCACACAACCTCTACAATGCTTCCTTCCAATAGTACACCAGCCTTGACTTTAAGGAAACCTGCAATATCTTTCCAACACAGGCAGTTTTATTTTGTTATTTAAATACTTTGTATTTATACACTTCATTGTGTGTAATTCTCACAGCCTCTATTAAAATCTGTTGAGAATTTCTAGCCAGAAATTTTGAAGCCTTATAACACATCATTTTCAAGGTCCTGCTATTTAAAAGAATAATTGACTTTTTCTGCTGTATTTAGGCTTTTGTATGAATGGTTCTTACAGATTTATCTTAAAGTGAATTTTTGTTAAACAGTCTAGAGGACTCACATGATGATGCAAGGCTTCACGTGCCAAAATATTGATTTGTCTCCTCCTTGATCCAGAAAGATTGCTTTGGATCATAATGGTAATTCAGCTGCTCTGGGCCTTGGTTTCTCTGTTCAGATTGTACCCAAACAACCAACATTTATTTTGCTGGGGATTTTAAATTATTTTTGTTTGTTTTTGTTTTTGTTTTTTTTCTTTTTAATAAAGAACAGTGACACCGTTTTGTTAGTGTATGTTTTTCAGCTCTGTGTCTCTTTCAGGAATAACCTGAATTAGGCATTTGTGTTTATTCTGCTATCCAAATATTGATTGAAAGGAGCTGGTAAAACAGTCCCAAATCTGTCCACTTGAGGGCTATTTAGCAATCATTCAAACACATACAGTTGAATAATTAAGTCGTACAGTACAGATTTTCCTTGGTAGCCTTAAACTTGGATCAGTAAACACTGCAAACCTCTTCTACCTTGCATCGCTAGACAGTTTGAAGTGTTTTTGCAACCCAGCTGATGAGCCAGCAGCAAACCCCTTCTCCCTACCTGAGCAGACAGCAGAGCTACACTTGCCAAGCCCTTAATCTGTGCTGGCATGTCAAAGACATTCCCTGTCACATGTGATGGCCCTGATGCACAAAGCACAGGGCAGTGTCCGAAACGTAATCTTTTCTACTTACCGTTTCACGGCCACCCATCAGCAAATTCAATTTTTCTGCTCTCGTTTAATACCAGCTCATTACATCTCTTTTCCATTATTTTCATAAGGATAGCAATGTATTTAAATGTGTTATCCTCCAAGGAATACCAAAAGATCTTTCTTTTACATGTAAACTGATTGCACAATCTGCTGTATTTTGACTCTCTTTATGTCTGTAGATTAACTTCCAGTTAATCTGAGTTTGTTGTTTTTAACGACTTACAACTGAAAAAAGATTATTTTCCTGGAACTTCAGTTGACATATTTTGCAGTTGCAAGGCAAATTTAGGCAAGGCCTGAGGGATCACAGGCAGCCTTCATTATTGGTGCATGACCGCTTTGCAGCCAACTGCATCTTTAATATCCAGGGAGATTTGTGCACTACAGTTTGTTTTCTTTCTTCTTGTTTTTAATAATTTACCTTTGAGAGTCTATTTACAACCATGTCGATGTGTGAATATGTTTGTCTGTCAAAACTTAAGATATGTACAGAATGCAAGAGATGCATTAATTTTTTATTTGCTTCTTAAGGAAGCCAAGCTGTAAACTGGCAGTCCTGAGTGCAAGAGCTGTACTTCAGTGAATCCTAATAAACACAAGGGGGAAGATCAAACTATGTGCCTCTTCAACTAACTCATTTAAAAAAGAGATAATATTCCTTGCTGAATCTACTTCTCTGCTAGGAGAGACAGTAATGTGGTTTTGTTTTTATTGTAACAACAAAACTCCACAATCAAACTTTCTATAACTTTTAATTTGCTGTTGAATTAGCAAAACTGCATGGCCTTCTGCTCCAGCATAAAAAACAGAGGGTTGTGAACAGCGCATCAAAAAAAGGGGTTGTATGCATTTAAGTGTTTCTGTCTGTTGAGATTCACTTGAAAATTATTTTTTGCATACACTTACATGTTTTGAAAAGACAGGATCTGGATGAATGCTTTTCAAATGTTTTCCAAAGCTGTTGGTGAGGCTTTTATTCTTACCCATGAATAGCTTCTTGCTCTGTGACATTTGTCTGATTTGTAACTGTTAGATTGGTTTAGTTTTATCCTTTAATTAGGGAATAAATCTAGTTGTGTAATAAATACCTATGAACAGTAGTAAGTACTTTGTCACTGTTGAGCTACATTGCAGTAACAAAATTGCTGATTCCCCCCACACACACACCTGTAAAAGCAATGTGGGTTACAGAGCTATTTTTTTCAGTATTCAAACTGATCTGTATCTTTTGAGGTAATTTAGCCTACAAACCTACACAAAAAGGATATCACTGGCATTGGACACTGAAAAAATAATTTGATAATCTGAAAGAGCACTGTTCTGTATTAAAAGAAATCCACTGAAACTCAGGAGTTTGAGAGAGAGAAGGTATAGAGGAGTAAAAATCTATGCCAAAAGAAAAACAGGTGAAAACATGAGAATATGTCCAGATCTCTTTTAATTTTACTTAATGCTTAGCTTCAGATTGATGGGTCCCAAATAACACTGTTTTAAGGCATAGGCAGAATCATGTCCCATTTGTATTAAATATTGTTTGACTTATCCACAGTCTGGAGGTCTAAAGAAAGAGGAAATACTTAATTATAAAGTATTCGAAGCCACATGAGAAAGAAAAATAACCCTTTGCAGTGAAACTGTAGAAAATGAAAATTAAAGGATTGGTGGTACAATCCAGGCAGAGCAAATGCTGCAGAAACCACTGTACATCTGAGTCAAAATTCTCTTTGCTCTTATTTGCAGTCATCTTCAATCAACTCTGAGAAGCTATGATAAAATCTGTTAGCAATATTAATTCAGATATAAAGTATATTCATAAATATAGATGAATATAGATTTTATTTTGCTTTCAGCACATAACTTGAAAACCAGTGGGAGTATGTTTTTTACCAATTATTTTTTTCCAGCTTTCAGTACATAAGTAAATGATACAAGAAATAAGAAATGGTCAAGAGTCCAACTGTGCCTGGTGAAGAGTAATAGCAAATAAGTACATTCCAGGTGGTAGATGGGAGTAAATGGATAAAGATAAGCACTCTCACACAGAGTTATCAGTATGTTGTTATCTTAGTATTCTTCAAGAAGATTAGACCTTTATTTTGAATGACATTTTTTTAATTATCCTTGATATCCAGTGTATTTTATGAACTGCAGACTGAATTTTGACAGAACTTGTACAGCCTGACTCAGAGTGAATTTCCAGATACAATGAATTTAGAGCTTGTTGAGTTTAGCCTGCTGTAGTCTTCCTGTTAAAAAAATGTGACAGAATCTATGATCTAATCATATTATGTCAATGGCTAGTGGGCTACTAGTGCAGCCATGACATTTCATATTTGCTTTCTTTCATAAGATTGTGGGCATTTACTTCCATTACAGCCTGTGAAGTTGCAGTAAAATGAAATTTCTGTCAAGTGTGATTGAATGTGCAGAGACAGAATGTCCAAAATCAAAAGGGATAAAACATTGATTTTGTCCTTTAATTCTCTTTTCTTTTTTCTGAAAGACAAGGAGTTTCTTGGTGCAGTTGGTTCTCTGATGGTGCAGTGAATGCAGTTCTTGGTCTAATTTTCAAGTTGGGCTACAAGTACCATCACTGCAAACTGTGGTATCAGTGTCAGCTGTGAAAGAAGGAGCGAAATGTAGGATATTACCTTAGTAAACTCTTGAAATGGCATATGCACACTAAAACATGGTGCCTACCCCAAACTTAAGTAAACTTTATTTGTGGAATAATAAGTTATATATTGTCTTGGATATTTACAAAAATATCCACAAGGAAATCGTCTTCATTGTTTGTGTTTGGGATCATATATGTTTTTTTCTGGTTTTTAGAGCATGATCACATTGCAAAGGGAATAAAGCAAACTTTGACCTCCTTTGGAAAACGAGGATGTTTTCCAGATCAGATGCAGGCAAGATCCTGCGAAGTAGTTGGTTGCTTTCTGCTTTGTTTTTTTTGTTGTTGTTGTTTTTGTTTGTTTGTTTGTTTTTTGTTTTTGTTTTTTTTATCTACATTCTTTTAAATCAACATTATACATTTGTAGTTCTTAATTTTCTAGTTTGTTTAACCTGTTAACTCAGAGACTTTAGGGTTGTAATATATAAATACAACTGTTTTCCATTTCTTTGGGTGTGTTTTATGTATTTAAGTGATCCAGACTGGGTATTTAAACAACCATTTTTGATGAATTGTAACTTCAATTCTGGCAACTTTCAGTTACTTGTAGTTGAAGTACATTACAGTGAAAACTTGGCTTAATCCCTACTCATCCCTCCTAGCATCAGGATACAGGTTTAAGCTTGACTCCCAGCCTTCATAGGAAAAAGATACAGACATGCTGGTGCTGAAAAACATGACTGTTTTTCATTCACCATAAATACAAAACTATTTCATTTTTCATTTTTCTGATTAATAATGCTGAAGTGTACAAATAATATGGTACCTCAAAGATTTCTGAAGATGTTTGAAGTATTGGGTTGCCAGTCCCTGTTTGTTCCCTCCTCGTTGGATGTAAATACAGTATCTGTGCAAGCAAGGTTATTTTTGTTTTCCTCAGTATATACACGTTGATGTTCATTTTATCTGATGCAGGAGGCATTAAAAGAAAACAACAAAAGAAGAGAATTGGAGGAGAAAACGAAGAGAGCCAAACTGGCGAAGGAGAAGGCTGAGCGAGAGAGGCTGGAGCGACAGAAGAAGAAGCAGCAGTTGATTGATATGAACAAAGGTAAGGAATCCTTCTTAACAGAGAGATTTGTTAAGGTTAAAACCAAGTCAACAGTCACAAATCTGATCAATGTGAGAAATACTTGCTGAAAGTTTGGGAAACTAAAAAAAAAAGTGAACTTTTTCAAAATTGACAATTCCATTTTTTTTTCAGCCTACTTGATGCTGTAATTCCATATCTATGACTTATTATATGTCATGTTCCTTTCAAGGTGTTTTGCTGTGGGTTATTGGCTTTTTTTCATTTGTAGCAGTTAATTGATTTTTTTCATATGGATTTACTTCCAAGAAGGAGGATCTAACTGCTTTGTTGTTCATTTCATTCTGTAAACAACTCTATAATCAAGATATTGTGGCAACTAATGTCTTTCTTTTTAGGCTTGGGGGCTCTGTGTTATAATGGATGTTCTCCCAGTAGTCCTATTAGGAGCTGGAAAATCTGGTTGAGCTTGGAGTCTAAGTACAGAGTGACATTTCAGCATGATAAAAAGCAATGTGTTTAAACTTGTCAGCTGTGAGAATATTGTATTTCACATGGGACCACCCTACAAGAGGAGAAAGTCAAAAAGAAGAAATGGAATGGGCTTGATGTTGATGCTGTGCCTATTTTCAGAAGGTTGTAAAACACAGGCTTTGTTCTTCACCTGTCTGACTGTAGAATCTAAGTAGAGGTGGTAAAACTTGCATTTGTATAAGAGATTACTTGCAGTTTTTTGTTCAGCTTCTGTGAGTTTGCTAATCTGACCCAGCTATAAAACGCTTCTTTGTTATCCACTTAACAGGCCCTACTCATGGAAAAATGCTGTTTGATTTTTGGAGGGTTTGTGCAATGGCACCACAAATCCTGTTATTTTTGGCCTTGTTTGAACTGCAAGTGACACTGCATGCAATATACTTTGGGATAAATTTTAGTGAATTACTCCATTGTTTTATATACATTACAAACTTTATTATCAGAGCGTATAAAGATTAGTCCGATTTCAGTTTAACTGTATATAAAATATGAAATTTAAATGCAGGCATAAGTACATTGTCTTTATGATGTGAAGTCAAGCTCGTGGGGATTTCTAATGAGATTGTTCTAAGCCATTCTGTGGACATTTGACTAATCTTTAATGTCTGTCACCGCACCTGCCAAAAAAAAAAGAGTCCTTAGTGATATGGACAGGCCCTTTTCTGTGAGTGGGATAAGAACCACCTAAATATCCCCTCATCACCCTTGTCTCTGCCAGTGTGCTTGAAGACACATGAGAGAGGCTATTTAAACTACCACTTAAGACAACATAAGCCAAAATGTTTTATTAGCTTGTACAAAGTGTGAAAAGCCCACTTAGATTTTGTTGTCAGCGAACTGGTCTGTGTTTAAGGGCTGTAGCTCTCGCTTTGAAGTTACAGCTTGTTAAATTGCCTCAGCTCAGTAGATGAGAACATACCTGTCTCCATACCTTAACTTTTTAAGCAGGTGAGGAGCAGACTACAGCTGCCAGTGGCATAGATGCCTCAGTACACTGACAGCATTTTTTCACCATAAAAGACTTTTCTTATCAACAGATAAAACCAAAGTTTAATTTTGCATTATAGCCTCATTCACTGAAAATGCAAATATATGAATAACTGTACAAGGCCCAATACACTGAAACTGCCATTTAAATAACTGATGTTTCTAAACCTATGACACAGAATGATAAATTAGTTTAATACTTCTAGGGTTTTTTTTTCTAATTTCTAAATATATTGAATTATCTATTTCACATATTACAACTCCAATGCCGTGGTAGGAGGAGGGGGATACGTCCATCCCCACTGGATTCTATGACGCTGATTTTCAATTGACTGTTTTTGCCAAGTAACTAATGTTTTTCTCAATGCACCTATTTCTGTGTGCTCATTCCTGCTTATATAAATAGTTTGTAAATTTGTCTAAGTGAATGTGACACAGAAGACTTAGAGGAAGGAGGCAGATGTCCTCTCAAGCTGTCATTTTGACAAGGTGATTTTCACCCAAAGGGGTGTTTTAACCTAACCCTCTTTCAGCTATTTCTCTAGCTGTGACTTCAAGAACAACATTTTAACATATTGCTACAGCCTTTGAGGTCAGAGCAATAGGGTTCCTACATTTTCCAGCCTTTTAGTGTGTAGTTCTATAACAAGTTTTTTTCCTTTTTTTTACTACCTGGGCATTCAGTGACAACTTTTTTTGAGGCCCCTGGAGAATCCAGATTAGATTAGTTATAATTAAATGTTAGAATTAGTATCAGTTTCTTGATGTAACTGCAAAAACTTGAGTGTGGCCAGAATTAAGAAATGCTCTGAGTAATACTTACTGATGAAGTAACCCCAGAGCTGCCACAATTTCCTGTTATGTTGTGCCTGATCCTCTCTCCCTTTGAGCTGTGGTGCAGTCAAAACCAGAGCAAGACATGCTAGCACCTGTTGGACTCTCTTCTACTGTGGGTGCAGCTCCCCCTCCTCGGGTGTAGCTGTAGGGCTTGGGAATATTTAGTGCTGTTTCCAGTCTGCTTTTATTGATACATCTTTGTTATATTTCCCAGACTGGTATTTACATGTGCCAGGTTTCCTGATGAAGTACTGGAGGCATAGAAAGATTTAACTGCCTTACCCACACTCCTTAAGTTTCACAGTTGAAATCATGAACTATTCTTTCCAGCTGTGGGAGATGAATTCTGAGGAGAAGTCCTTCATGACTTCTGTCTGATTTAACATCTGCAAAATCGTTGCAGCATTGCTTCCCTGTGCATATCTGAACCATAGAGAGGAAAGAAGAACTGGGGAGAGCTTTCTGGGAGCTGAAAAGTGTCAAACAGCAATTCTGATGCAAATGTTATTTAATCAGAAACAGTTTTGCTCTTCATTATATCTGATTACTATGGCAATTAAAATCACCTTTTAACTACCAGTATTCGGATAAAAGATAGAATGAGCTTCCTCAGTCCCAATTAGTATTGAATTAATTGTTTTGAAGACATATTAACATTCTTTCCTAATGAGATGAAGATAATGGAAGTGAAGTTCTGTGCTAGTGGTTGATGGATATTCCTACTTTCCCTTTTTAAGTGCCCTTATATAAGAATTCATATGCTTTTATTCAGACTGGCATGTTCTAGTATGAGCAGTAATTCTGCTGGGTTTCCTTCAAGTGCAGGATATAATTCCAGAGGTTACTTTTGCTACACTTGGCTAAAGATTCTGTGCTTTTCTGCTTGGTTTGTCTTCCATCCAAGTCCTTTAGCATAAACAGAAATCCATATTAATTTTATTATGAGTTACATGTTAGTTTGCAAGTGTCTCAGCCTTGATCATTTGGATTTACATATTGGCTGATGATTGCATGGGATACCTGGTGTGGTAAAACTTGGGGCTTATTTACATTTTAAAGATTATTAGGCAAATGTTACAATGCCTTTGGGAAGTCACTGTTTTTCATATTGATGTCAATGATCTGTTTGAATATGCTGCACATTTCCTGAAATCTAATGCTGACAGAAAAACTTGGGTAGAACTTGATTACAGGGATCATACCTTATCCTTAGATATCATGTGGTCGTTTTTCTTTCTCTTCTTTTGAGCTGCACAATCTTTCCCTTCCCACATAGAGGCAATCTCTTCCCATTTGTTCCTCAGTAATCCACGTTGCAGCCTATTTTAAGTGTAGTGCAAGTCATCCTAGTGAGGAGCAGCAGCCTGTGCAGGATGAGACCCCAGGGACGATGCAGATGAGTTTCAATCAAGCCCGTTCGTGCCAAAGCAGACCTCGACCACCCTGATATTCTCTGAAAATGAAAACGTGTGTGCATTTCAAAAATTGTTTTCAATAACCTGCCATTACAACAAAGTGTGGGGTTTTTTTCCTTCTATTAACTTTACATAAGCCTGAGATCAGGTTATCATAAACAATATGCTTAATTGGTGCGTAAGCAAGGATTTGCCTTGTTTTTTGCAAACTGATGTGAGATAGAGGTTCACTTATCAGTCATACTGTCCTAACTTCTTCTTGTTTAATTAAGAAGTAAATAAGAGTCATGAGACACCACTCTAGTGCAAACTGCCGAGGAAGACTGCTTCCTGGAGATATTTATTATGCATGCAAAATGAATTTAGCAAATGAATAAAATGCAAATATATGAGGCGAACACAAAAACACGCTTTCTGGAAAGACACTGAAAGCTGACCTTTTTAAGTGAATATATTGCAATTAAAAATTCTGGCGCTGCCTATGAATTAAAAGTCTTGTTTAAAAGTTTCTACAGGACATACATGAGACTTTGAAAAGTGCTTAAAAGTTAAAGCAAAACAGGGTAGTGCAAGGTGTCAATAGAAGCCTAATTTTGAAATCCTTTGGAGAAGCAGTCAGGCGGACAAGTGTGTGTTACTTGACATGATGTTTGACTGGACTCTTTCAGTAAAGGCACAAATTTATGAAAAATATCCTGTAAAGTTTCTGTAAACTTTTGCCCAAATAGCTGTGCAATACTGACACTTCCTATTAACTTAGATTAGTTCACAATTAGTATATCTATTATAATGAGTAGATGATGTTTTGCAAGTGCATATGTAAAAATACTAGAAAATAAAAGTGCACCAGCAAAATATGTGGATATTCCTGTGGTAATGAGCACAGACAATAAAACGAGAGGGCAGCAAAGCACTCCAGAAACAAGATCATGTTGCCAGGGCCTTTTAGAGCTGTGAATCTGCACTGAGAAAACCAAATATATAGGAGATGGATCATGTTTTGGATGCATGGGCTGAGCTCTGTGGCTTCAAGGGAAGTGCAATTTCTGTAGTTCTAAGACATTCAAGTAACTCAAAAAGCCCAACTCTTTTAGTGTTACCTTTTGCCATCCTTAGTGCTACCCCAGTCCTTATATTTCATTTAAGAACAGTATTTATTGGGAATTTTTAACGTTCTAGTTTCCTCTAATCTCCTTTCTAGTGCAAACTGAAAAAGCAGTCCTGAGAAATTCTGCTAGAAGATATTTC